CCTCCACATTCGAACCTGGATGTCTTACTGTTGAAATGGGTTACAGCTACCTGCCATCTGCATGGGGTAAAGGTTACGCAACGGGTGCTGTAAGAGCAGTGATTGATGCTTGTAAGAGAGGGAAGACCTTTTGGGAGCCGTGCGAAAAGGTGTTTGTACGAGCCATCGTTAGCCCCGAAAACCCGGCGAGTATGCGTGTGATGGCCAAAAGTGGTATGAAGGAGCTCGGGATGCATTTCTGGGATGGTGAAGGTCAGTCAATATTTGTGGGGGGGAAATGGAGGACGACGGATGAGTTGCATGTATTTGGTACGTTTGTCCTTGAATGAGACGACAGGACCTGGTAGTCTGATGTAAGCACCACTGAGTGAGATGGTAATCTAGAAATGCACGGTTCACTCGTACCCTGAGATTGAATCACGACGCATCTTGATAGTATCATCTTGAGCAGGAGTCCTGTAGGAGGCTCATATAGAGTTTATTCACGACATATTACCAGTACCGTATAATCTAAGCAAGTCGCATTTCAGTGACGCATACCTGGGTTCGCATGATCACCAACTGTACACGGTAGCGGGCACTGGAATCTGGTAGTAGACTAAAGATTCACCATATTGAAATAGGCTATGCTTGACCATTTAAAGGCTCTCTCAAGTTGGCGACTCCTAGGATCAACTATATATCACCTACTCTCGTCTCTCACAACCGAGAATTGGAAAATTAAAGACTAGTTTTACTCAAATGATGATGTTGGTGATGAGAAATACCTCCTACGCCATTGAGCGTACATGGCTGGTGTCTCAGTGCTTTCATGACGTAATGCTTAGTTCGGCGTCCAAACTGCCTCCGTACCCCAACAGCGACCAAACATCGGCGATAATACCGATACTCACCTTCCCAACGGATACATCGCTGATCATCTCCATGGTTAATCATGCGCAACATGAAGATGTGGGTTTTACCCCGCACATCTGGGGTAAAACCGTAGCTGCTATATCCGGGATTGGTTTGCCGAAATGATACTATTACTATGACCTATACTGGACTATCTCAATCGCATAGTCGTTAAAAAAACCATTCACTTGACAACGATCGTTTGCTACACGCGGATTCAGAAATACAGAACCTAAGCCGAGTCAAGCCAACATGAGCAAGTCTTTAGACGGGGAGAAACAGGAACACCTCGAACATGTCGACATCGATACAGCCAAGCAGCAGCATGAAACACTGCAAGAGTATGGAGAAGAGATAGACATCCATGATGAGAAGTATAACAAGAAGCTCAACCGACGTCTCGACCGACGCGTTCTACCACTGTGCTGCTGGGTCTATCTCTTGAACTTTCTTGACAGAGGTATACATTTTCCAACCACAACACCAACACTGGTCCAAGGTCACCCTAGCTGATACTTGCGACAGGAAACATTGGAAATGCCCGCGTGCTCAACACCGAAACGGGCGACGACATGCTCACGAACACGGGTCTGACACCACATGGCTATGCCCTGACTGTCACGCTCTTCTCCGTGGCTTACGCCATCTTCGAAGTCCCAAGCAATTTCGTCATGAAACACTACATCCGGCCTTCTAGGTGGCTCGGAATTCTTCTATTCGCGTGGGGAGCATTAACCATCGGTTTTGCGGGTGTCCAAAATAGTGCCACAATAATTGCGTTGAGGTTCTTGATCGGAGTCTTTGAAGCTGGTTTCTTTCCTGGTACGTTCAGAATGTTCTGTGAAAGCGATACATTTGCGCTAATCATATGTTGTTAGGAATCGTCTACTTCATCACAATTTGGTACCGCTATAACGAGCGCGCAGTGCGCATCGCACTCGTGATCGCATTCTGTAACCTCGCTGGAGCTTTTGGAGGGGCCATCGCGTTCGGGGTCGGGCATATTAATGGAGCAGCCGGCCTTGAGGGGTTCCGCTGGCTTTTCATTATCGAAGGCATCATCACCTTACTTTCTGCCTTTCTTTTATGGTTCTTCCTCCCTGATTATCCAGCTCGAGCCAAATGGCTCAGTAACGCAGAGAAGAAATTCGCAGTTGATCGTCTAGCGGATCGCGGTGGCGGTTACAACCAGGAGCATGCTACCAGAAAGGAGATTCTGGACACATGTTTTAGTCCACGAATGTTGTTGCACTACATCGCATATGTAGCCGACGTCGTTCCTCAGGGATCTTTTACTTTCTTTACGCCTACTATTGTCACCGGCCTAGGCTACGTAAGTGCCCTTGTACGAACTGCATGTGAGACATAAACTGACTTCGCGCACGCACCTTTTAGGAGTCTATTCATGCCCAGCTTCTGACAGTCCCGCCATGGGTCGTCGGCTTTTTCGTCGCTATTACTATCTCTTACTCTGCGGATCACTTCAACGCTCGTGGCTGGCACATCACCATCGCATCGCTCATTGGAGGCACAGGCTGGCTAACTGCTGGTCTTCTTCCTGCTGATGCCTATGTTCAGCGCTACGGCTGTTTATGTATGGCAGCTGCAGGAGCCTTTCCAGCTGCGCCTTCCATGACGAACTGGGTGACCTGCAACTCGCCGAGTTTCCTCACTTTACCACTTGCCATTGCCCTGCACAACTCTTGTGCAGGTCTTGGCCAGATTATAGCGCAGTGGATTTGGATGAACAGCGAAAGGAGTCAAGGATTTCCAACAGGAAATTTCGTGTGCGCTGCGTGCAGTTTCCTAGTTGCTGCAATAGCAACGATTCTTCGGCTTTGGTATGGAAGGATGAACAAGCTAGAAAGATCAGACAGTAGAGGCGATCAGAGAGTTTGGGCCTTGTAGACAGGTGAGGTTATGAGTATTCAAGGTTTGTATCTCCAATGCTCCATCATTTGCCCCCATCTATTGCTTCAACAACCATTTCCTCAATGCCTTTGTCATTATCTCGTGCGTCCTACTTGTTAGATGACCTGAGTTGTACCAAAAAAACGTATCCAACTCCGTACATCCATATTTGCCGGGATCTGTCAGGATATCTGGCTGATTGTATCCAGGGCAGTAGTTGGTGACGTTCTTGAATCCGTAATCTTGGTAGTGATCCAACACATTGTTCAAAACACTGTTGACATCAAACTGGAGCACCTTGACATCTTTGTGTTGGCTTTGGAAGGCATCGGCATGCGCGGCATGGATCTTGTTGAAAGAAGAGACCATAGAGGCGTTGACATTGGGCGTTCCCGGACCACGATCCAGGGGCGGCAGGTTCATGAACAAGAAGTTCTTGTAACCTAAACTGTATATCTTTTCCACGCTCTTGAACAACCTGTCCTGGACCTTCTCATAGCTCGGTGCGAAAGTTGCATTCTTGCCTTGAGTAGAAACAAGGTCGTTGATGTCGTTGATACCAATCCATATCGCAACTAGTGCCTTCTTCTTGTTGAGATCGATTGATTCAAGGGCCGGGTCACCGTAAGAGACGAATTGTTCTACTTGACGTTCGAGCGAGACGGTATGGTTGTGGTGTAGGGGGGTGAATCCAGCTTCGTTGATAGTGTTTGCACCGGCATATGCAAAGTCCCAGAGTTGAACATCGCATTTCCTTGGATCATGCAAGCCATCCTCAACACCACATTCGGTCAAGAACTCGACCCAGTTTGGTCCTCCTTCCGCCGTTCCCGTGAGATTCTGCACAATGCGATCTGAGAAGAGTTGTTTGGGCGTGAAAGAGAAGTTGAACTCATCTCCGATGAAAGTGTAATTCACATGACCAAGCGTGCCTTGTACATATGTGTAGCTATCGCCAAAAGCTACCATAGATTTCGTAGAGCGCCACTTGAAAGAACCGTGCGTTTGTTTCGGATAGCTTGGGGCTGCTGTTGCGTACGCACACAGCGTTAAGGAAATGCATGAAGTAGTGGTAAGCTTCATGGTGGCCGAAAAGAGTTGGTTTCAGAAGGCTTGAATACCGTGATCATGACTTCTGGTAGGCTTGGCTGTAAGTTATATCGTCCATGGCATTGGAGACGGAGCCCCGGCAACATGGAATTGACGGAAGAATTGCGCCCGAGGTGGCGGGTCGGGAAATTTGAAGTTGGGTGAATTTCCGGGGCAGATACGCGACGCTGCGGGGTACCCCGGGATTACCGTGAGCCTCGTTCAGGAGTAGCATCAAGCAGCGACCACAAAACGGCTTCTGAGTGTTCGGACCCTCCCACGATACAATCGTAATAATGCCGGACGCCTCCACATTTGTACCACCAACGACCCAACCCATGATGTTTTGAATCGGCTTTTTCGTAGCCCATATGCAGAGTCCAGAACGGGAGTGTTTCAATCGGTTGCCGCCCGCAAGCAAGCAGGTCAGTGATGAAAGGCTGCATGGATACGACATGAGCCAGAGACACACCCATCTTTAACGGCAGATCTTGCCACCACCAATTTGAGGCATCCAGACAATGCCATACTCCAAGCATCCTCATGGTATCAAGATAAACTTGTTCCACGGTATTGTCATAATTCACAACAGGACGGAGCTCCTCCGAGACTAGGCCTAGCATACCGTATAACTTATCTCGAGGGTCTTCGCAGTCCATACCAGAGAACTCTCTCAGCATATTGACAAGCAAATGCTTATACCCAGGTTCAATGCGCCCTGAATGGGCGTAACGATCAGTTAGCAGCCACGTCACCCGTTGGAGTGTTGGGTGCTTGAGATAATCAGCCCACAATGCAGCTTGCTTTAGGGTATCCCAGTGTATCCAGGTATCACCGCATAAGATGCGTGCCTCTTTTGGTAGCAACACTTCCTGCACGATCCAGAGACGTGTGAAGTAGCGATTTTCTAGTATGGCCTTTGTATTTGCAGCATTTCTGATCTTCGAATATCTTCGCGCCGCTCTTGACGAAGATAAACCAAGCCAAGCGATAACGTAGATGCATCCACTGTAAATTCTAGCCATTAAGTGAACTTGATGGTTGCGTTCCGCTGTATCCTGCTGGTTGACACATATCTGAGTAATCGGTATCAGTCCACATATATGTTAAAGAGGAGCCATGGAGCATACCTGGTCGATCCAGAGGTGGCGAATGTTGGCATCATCTAAGCGAAAGGCGTATAAGAAGTCGAACAAATTCATTCTAACGGCCATTGCTTTGTTGCCTACGATAATATGTTGATTATTCGATGCATCACCCCAGGTGTATGACAGGGCGATATATTCGGGTGCAGTATCGAGATCGAACGTCTCGAGTTCGCAATGGATCATATTCCGGTCGGGTAGTACGTTCGCGGCAGATGGAGGTCGCGATAGTTTCAGGAGACGAATCTGCTGCTTCTTTGTGTCTAATTTTGTGTATTGATAAACATTCGCAGTCCGCGGAATTCTCATTGTGCTACGGGCCATCTTGTCGAAAACTCTCACTTCAAGAAGTAAAAGGTTATTGAGTATGCTCAGACGACAATGATGAGCCAAGCGTGAAAGTCTAGTTGCGTCAAGCGATTGGTGGAAGACAAGATATTGAGAAAAATGAGTTGCTAAATGGAATAATGTTTAAGGATTGAGGTGCTTACCTAGCACAGCCCCACTTCAGCCGCAGACTACGTGCATGTGCAATCGCGGCACCCTACAGTTGTCTTTGTTATGAGGAATATGGAGCCCTTCGTTTGAATGGTATGAATGCTAAATGGTGATATCGTAGTACATAAGAAGCTGCAGGATCTTACTCGTCAAAGAAGTCTCCCCAACTGAACCCACCGCCATCACCACCGCCACCAGCATCGCCTCCGGCCTGTTCATTCCCTCCACCCCAGAAGCCTTGGTCTTGATCGCGAGGTCCTACACTAGGGTCTTCACCCCATATATCCTCACCTGCTTGGCCTGTACCGTACTGTTGGTCGGGGCTAGGTTGATATGGATCAGCTGCCTGCGGAGAAGCATCATCTTCTCCTTGTTGCCTTGATTCTCGCCCTCTTTGAATAGCTTCGTAGCCTGCCATTGTAGCCGCGCCTGTCGCTGCACCTTCTCCAGCACCTAATCCGCGTGCTGCAGTGCCGACTTCGCCTGCGATACCGCTTTCGCCAGCAGCGCCTACAGCTCCGGCACCGGCTGCGCCCGCCTCACCAGCTGCAGCGCCGCCAGCAGCTTCACCACTGCCACCAACCCACGGCATCCACATCGGCCACATGCCACCGGAACCGCTATGCCGACTGAAATAATCAAAGTCTATGCTAACGGCCGTAGCGAGCATCACAGCTCGTTGATCAAGGGTCATACCAGGATAACCTTCAAGTGATGGTCTACTTTGTTCACCGGTTTTGGACACCAGGTGGGATGGCTCACTTGCCAGTCCGGCAGCATCCATCCTCAGTGCGTAAACGCCCGTATCCGTAAAGATTTCACGCGCAAAGCCGCCGAAGTTGCGATTGACGGAGCCTGCCAGACGTCCGTCTTCAGACATCAAGCTGAAATCCCAGGAAAGAAAGGGCTCGTCAACCCTGGCAAACTGAAGCATGCCGACTTCTCGTGTGTCACCCTCAGCTACAGCGACAGCTTTTGAGTCGGAGATTGGCAAGTCGCCAGAGGACAGCTGGGGTGTGCCGGGTGCAGCAGCAACGTCCTCCAAATTCCTTGCAAGGAACAGATTGTATTTCCTTCGTAACGGTGCCCACTCTTGTTCTGCAGCTCCGATAATACGCATGTCCTGCAGTGGTAAACTAGAGACGTTTGCGCTGGTTTGATTGGCTATGCTTCGCGCGCTTGTCCCTTGCAGGCTTGACGAGCTGGTGTACGCGCCCTCGCCCTGTCCTACAGCATCATAGACGCGTATTCTCGAGTTGATCCAGCTGAAAGGCCTGTGAAACCTCAGTATTTCCTTCTCGTCCCGATCAAAGACGTGTGTCGTAAAGCTCCGATGCGTCTTGAACATCTGTCTCGCCATGGCATTTCCTATGCCATGCTCTTGCTCTGCTAGATATCCAATATGACTGCCATGCGGATCCATGATAACGTAGCGGTTCGCTTGCTCAAAGCCCATGAGCACATTCATCATCTCTAGCTGTCGTTGTACTATAAGAGAGGAGTTGTCGAGCAGGCGCATGGCAGGATGGGTCTGCTTGAGGACAGCATGTGGGTCTTCGGGCATATATACGGGTGTGATGAGATTATTTTCGGAATCAGGCGTGGTAGAGAGGGCGTTGGACACGGCGTCGACCTTGGATGTCTCTTTTGGAGACTCATCATGTGTGTTCGGCGAGTTCTCGTTACCGGGTGGTTTCGTCGAATACGGCAAGCTCGTTCGTGGCGCTTTGTGTCTTGATAGGCGATTACGATGTGGTAGCTGTAGAGGTGTACTTTTGGTGACGAATGATGGAGCGCTCTGTCGTGGCAGTCGCAAGGACCACCTTGCCGCTGGCAACATATTAAATGTGATTGTACCGTATCTAATGCTGTGGTAGTTTTAAGAGTGAGTCTATAATCAAGCGGGCAGAATGCGCGTGAGCAACGTAGATGCCTAATCACTCTTGCGTGGCGTTACGACGATGTTCTGTTAATTTCTCGGAAGGTGAGCTGCTCCGATTACGTCATAACAAGCTGCAGAAGTAAGTACAAACCCAACGCCGTTCTTGACTATGGTGAGGCAAATGCTCCAAGCAGCTGGAAGCGACTGTCTTAGTGACAAGCTTGTGTCATGGTGGTCATGGTGGGACAATTGGACCACGCGTGTCGAGGCGGTCAGTTCAACCAATCAGATCTGGCCTTGGCAAACAGTCATGTCCAAACTTTTTGCGCTTTGCTCTTGCTTCCAGCACCACCACCATGAAGCTCACAATCCTCGTCGACGACGCCATTACTTGACGTCGCAAAGGCTGGGTAAGTCTTATCTATTTCTCTCTTTTTCAAACGTACTGAAGGCAGCACATCGTCAAAGCTTCTGTCAGCGTCATGTGCGCGGAAGTCACGATCGTGTTCTGCCTTTGCTCCTTTGGAATTTCTTTTCATGATGACACCTTTTCACTTATACGATTGCCGGCGCAGGCATTCACTTGACTGCGTTAGGTGCTCGATGCTGTCTCCGTTACAATAGACTACAACGGTATCTGATCGATATTACTCACTACATGTCGCATTGCTTCTGTGCGCGCTCAGTGCTAACGTCAGTGCAGTTTCATCGAACACTGAGCTGAAATGTCAGGCATGTCCGCGGCCATGCGACCTGAGCAAGCTGCAGCAGCAAGCGAGGCACGTCCGAACGGTCTACCTCAACAAAACCAAGAACCAGCAAACGGTGCTTCGAGGAAACCTCGCCCAAAACGACCCAACTATAATGAGATACATGCGAAGCCTCTACCATTGGACGTATATGCACTGCCTGCCTTCGTTCCGCACAATCCGATTTCTGTCTTGCGACTAGTCATCAGTCTAATCTCACAGTCGCTGTGGCCGCCACAGTCACATCACGTCGTACATAAAGCATACTACTCTGTAGAGACCCAATCAATACACGTCACGGATCCAGCCTCTATTCGAGCTCTTTGGGAGCAGGGCTTCTGGGGTAAGGGGTCCCTCAGTCGAAGTGAGCCGCAATGGCTCGTCGCTGAAAAGCGAAGGCGAGGTGCACAGGCGTCGAAGACAAGCACCGAGGTGACACAATCAAGGCGAGAAGAGCGGAGGCAGTTCAAACTAGAGAGAGCCAAGGCACAACGCGAAGCTATTGAGCAACAACTACGACAAGAAGGCAAGATTGTATCAGATGCCAACATCGATAAGCTTGTAGGTAGTGATGCCAAGGATACCAGCAAGCCAGAAGAGGTTGCGGGGACTTCCACGATCAATAAAGCCACAGATGGCACCGTTGCACAGGCCGACACTGAAGCCGGCCCGGAACTTGATGTTCCTGATCTTGAACATCTCCAGCTCACGCCCGAGGAAGCCTTCTTCCTTACATACGTCCTCGGTGCTCTAGAAGTCATCAACGCAGACGCCCAGACGTCGTCGGCCGATTTGCAACACTACCCTACATGGTATCTGTTGCGCTTATACTGCTCGTATGCGTTGAGTCCCAGCGAATCCATTGATCTAGAAAGAACGTTGACTCATCTTCGTACTGCGTACAGCATGAGCAACGGTGCCACGCGCATGGATCCCGCTATGTCGTGCATTCCTTCTATTGCGCCCGACAACCCTTTCCTGATGAAGTACGTTGTCTTCCATCACTTCCGCTCCCTAGGATGGGTAGTTCGGCCTGGCGTCAAGTTCGCCGTCGACTACCTACTCTACATCCGAGGGCCTGCCTTCACACACGCAGAGTTTGCAATCATGATCATCCCTTCTTACTCGGCTCCCTATTGGAATGAGCAAGCAGATGGTCAAAGCCAAGTCAGAGCTGCGGAAAAAGAGCGCCGGGATTGGTGGTGGTTCCACCGGGTGAACCGAGTGCAAACACAGGTCATGAAGACACTGATGCTTGTCTACGTTGAGGTACCAGAGCCGTGGGATACAAGCTGTGTAGAACTTGACGGGTTCAGGCTCGACATCGGCAGTGTTCTGAAGAAGTACACAGTTCGAGAATTTGTCTTCAAAAGGTGGAGTCCGAGCCGAAACAGAGATTAGGTTGTGCTTCCACGAAATCCGACCCGAAACGGTATGAAGTCGCCCTAGTTACGAGAAACGATAAGACAAAAATGTGAAGCATGAACCTTAATTTATATCAAGTCCCTCTCGTACCTGTCAAGCACGACGTTGCTAGAAGCTGTGCTACACCTACACTACCTAAGTCACATAATTATCTGCTGCAGCAATGGAGGATATGACGTCGCATCTATAATGCATACATGAACAGCCCATGTAGCCTAGTGAGCCCATCACATTTGATAATCTTATAGGTCGGAGCAGAGCAAAATCTCGGTAAAATTAGCCATCGAGAACTATCTTGCAAAGCCATTTGTCTCCAATCTAACAAACTCCGGCGCAGCTTTCTTCACTCCAAACTTCTGACTCAGGATTACAAACTGGCCCACAAGTATCATCTGGCTCCACTTCGGCCGGTCCCCATCGTACATCGCGTCGTGCAACAGATCCTTACACTTGTCCCACTCCAGAAACCCCAAAGCCTCGACGTTTTCCTTCGTGAGCAGTTTCTCGAACAGCTTATGCACTGGTCCATCAGGCTTGTATTTCACTGGAGCAGAGAAAGGATGCTTCTTGCGTGTATATAGCTCAGCCGTGATGAATGGCTTCATGGCCTCCTTTAGGATCCACTTTTCGCTGAAGGTTCGAGTAGAAGGATCGTAATGCAGTTTTACTGAGGGCGGAAGTTTCATGGCGTATTCTGTGAGGCGGTGGTCGAGGAATGGTTGACGTCCTTCGACACTGTGGGCCATCTCGCAACGATCACCTAATACGGTGAGAAGACCGTTCGCAAGAGACGACTTCGTCCAGATGTACAGAGAAGTGTGGAGTGGATGCCATTTGTTGGTCATCAGCTCTCGCGTACGACCGTCGATGGCGTTCACGGCAGTGAGGCGTTTGTCGGTAGTCCCGAATTCGCCGAATACCCAAGGAGCGAAGAGCGGATCTCGTAGAGATGCGGTTTGCGTGAAGCCGAGGAAAGAAGTGTTGTTCACTTGGGCACGGACTGCGGCCGAAGTCACGAGTTCTTTTGGACCTGAGGTGTCAGTGCCCTCTAGCCCCTTAAAAGTTGCTATGCGCTCTTCTTCAGGGAGACAGGAATTGGGCCATGCAAGATCGGGTTCGCGAACGAAGTCGGTAAGTAACTCTCTGTAGCCGGCGAAATGTTCATCTGATCCTTCTCCTGTAAGAACAACCTTGATACCTTCATCACTGGTAAGCTTTGAAAGCAGGAATTTACCGACAGTCCCCAGATCAGTCACAGCTGTCTCGTTGTGCCAGACTGCATTCTCGATGTTGGCCGCAAAATTCTCTTCGGTCATCTCGCAGTGGTGCATCTTGACTCCAAGCCAGTCCGCAGTACGACGCGCGATCGGCTCCTCGTCATGTTCTTCACCAATAAACTTAACACTGAAGCAGTTGATCCTTTCTGAAGCTGGAGCAGTACCAAGCTGAGCACCTTCCGTGTCCATAAGATGCTTCACCATTCCCGCTATTGCGCTGGAGTCGATGCCGCCACTGAGAAAGACACCAATCGGCACATCTGCACGGAGGCGGTCTCGTACGGCATCTAGGAGATGTTTTCGTACGCCTTGTATCATCTCATCTTCACCCCTTGTTTCAAGCTCACGCTGACATGTGTTAGTAATGTTTGTAATGCACCTGCTTTTGCACGTACCTTGTCTTTGAAGTCGACATCCCAATACTTGCCTTGCGTAATGGTGCCGAAAGACCTACACAACAAATAATGACCAGGCAGTATCTTGGAAACACTTTGGAAGATAGTTCTTCCATCGCACAACCAGCCCACGTCTTTGATGCTTTGCACGTCCCACTCAGGTTGCCATCCGAAAGGAAGGAATGCCTTCATCTCGGAAGCGACCTAGGAGGTGTATGTGAGTCTTTAGTATATGCGAACGGTACTTGATTACCATACCAGCAGTTTGCCATCTAGGACCGTGTAGTACATGGGCTTGATGGCATATCGATCGCATGCGGCGATAAAGATCTGAGCCTCGGAGTCGTATAAACATAGTGAAAACTCTCCGCGTAGATGCGATAGAAAGGATAGACCATGCTTCTTGTATAGCGCCAGTGCAATCTCGGAGTCTGACTGGCTCTTGAATCTATAGCCCTCGCGACTGAGGCGATCTCGGATCTCTTGATAGCCATATAGCTCGCCGTTTACTACGACATGGATAGTGCCGCCTTCATCATGGAATGGCTGTTCACCTTCCGGGTTCAAGTCGACGATCGCTAGTCGGTTGTGGGCAAGAGCTAGGTGGTGAGCAAGTCAGTTGTGTGTCTGTGTCCGTTGCAGCTGCAGTGACTTCTCCACGTACCCACGCGACAATCTTCGCTAATCCAGTGGCCTTCTGCATCGGGCCCACGATGCTTGATATTATCCAGACTCTGGTCCAGTGTCTTGCTCAACTCCCCACGTTCCTTTGCTAATGGTCCATGACCCCGCAATGCAACCGCACAAGTGATGCCGCACATGATTACGCGATTCAAGAGATCCAGAAGAAGAGAGTGTGCAGCGCTTCCCCATATCTTTTCAACTGAACTTCGGCGATACCTCTAAACATGACGTAGATACGAAATTCGTAGCGGTGATTGTTCAATGATGTTCGATTGTTCCTGATAAGCCCGCATCGCTTGTTACTTGTTTGGGTGTTAGTGGGCGCCCCTGGATCGCCCAGATCGCACGGCTCCTGGCGGGATCTTCGAGCTTCAACAAGCACAGCTTCAAGTCTTCCACACATTTTCAATTGTGTTATTGTGTTGTTTTTGCAAGGGTTGTCAAAGCCAACGTTCGCCATCATCCACTGGCAACCCTCGGATATAGCGACGGTAGTCCCAACCGTGATACCCACACTTGAGACATTTCTTTTTGTGCTCGCTATCTGGGCCCGCCATACGATGTTCGAGGTCCGAGGGGCGGAAGCGACAAAATGACTCTCTCGACTCTGACCCAAGGAGTCCATCTTCGCTGACGACGCGGTACCTTCGCAATCCGGGACAAGCCGCTGTTGCACGCTTTCTGCAGTGGCCATCTACTGCTACCAGGTCTTCGCTACGCAAACCCTCCTCGGTCAAGTCCCATGAAACCACTAGCTTCTTGATGAAAGCTGGTTGTGGCCGCCAGTGCTTTACCAAGGAACCGTATTTGTTGAGCTTGAGGTTGTCCTTCTGACCGACAGGATCGTGCGCATACGTAAGGCCACTTTCTAGAACGAAGAACAGGCGTCTAAAGCTCTTGCCGATGTGCATATACATCCTGTGTCCTGGGCCGCTTCTCAATGAGCCCGAGAAGTGCAAGGTCAAGCTGTCTAGCCACAAGCTGAAGATAGCGTTCAAAGGTCGGAGGCTTTCGAAGAATTTTGGGTCCTGATAGCCGCAATCATGGATTCTGTGACCAGGGACTACCAGTGTCAGATTTTGCAAGGTGTGAAACTTGGAATGCATTCCGACAGGTGTTCGTGTTATGATAGGGAGCAGAATGCGCACTCCTAGCTCGCTCTGTGAGAGGACGTCCTGCTTGTAAGCCAGCAGCCACGCTTTTGTCATGCGGATCGACACTCGTTCGCACTCGTGCTTTGCTTGCCGACACGAAAGGATCAGTCCGCGGCATTGTTCATTGTCGATGGGCGGAAGGTCCAGAAGGTCGTATATGGCAAAGCGGATCTCGGCCGGGAGCCTAAAGAGAGGCGATGAGGTCTGCGCAACCTGAATTGGAGACATTTCCAAATGCTCTACGACGAACGCTAGAGTGCTCAACGATGAGACGCAGTTTTCGATTGAGATCCGGTAGTTATATACTCGGATTCTCTTATGTTGCTGCCTAAATCTAGGACATTTGCTTGGCTGACGCACAACCTCCACTCTTCGACCTACTTCCGCTTTCAGAAGAAGGATTGAGGGCCCAAGAGTCCGTCGGATTATTACGATTGCACCCATCAAAGTGACATGGACGAGCCAATTGTGGTTAGTTGAGTATAGCTTTGTCAGACCGTTATTCACTACTCGTTACTGGCTTGACGACAGCTTTATCGTTCAACCATGCGTCTCCCCTGACCTTTGATACTCCCGACGCTCTCACCCCTGGCTTTCAAGCACCAGTGATAGATTTTATTCCCTCACTTTGTAGACCCCATATACACAATATTCTAAAAACACCGTCTGCGGGTTGTCATCGCTCTCGATGGGCAGATGACCAACTATTCCTATTTATGCAGCTTGTGAGGAGGTAGCATATGTAGAATAAGGATGTGGCATGTTATAGGGTTAAGCATAATGTATTTAGCGCACCTGTAACCTGGTTTCTCTATCTTCTAAAACAAAAACAAAACACACAGAAATAAACGCAGAAGCCCTAACAACAACAATATAAAACGGCAGAGATTAAAAGCACACTGTATCTGGAAATCATATCCCATCCAGATCGATAGCCCACGGACAAGTAGCTACTTACAGCTACCCATCGTCAATAACACAAACGATATGATCGATATCGCCCAGAAAAGTAAGTCAGAAACCAAGGAGGTGACTGTTCAGGTCTAACACCTAGACATAAGCCTTGTCCAAGTTGCTAGCGAAGACGTCGTTCCTGAAAGGTACATTTGCCTTTACAAAGAGGTCCCTGGGAGCAAGAGCTTGCCTAGCAGCAGTCGGCATAGCATCCCAGTCGCTGATCCAGTAGGTGCGACCGACGGTGTTGGTAAACTGCGTAGCGTGGTTGTAGGGGAACCTGACGAAGTACTCCACTTTGACGTTGTTGCCTTGAATGTTGGGGCGCGTGGTGGGCGAGTAACCGCCATGGCCGGATGCAGCAGCACCAAGGATACGGGGATTGGCGTTCGCTGGGTTGTCAATCCAGACGACAACACTCTCCTGTAAAGGTGTAGGCACTAAGTCAGTAAATGTCTCACATGCATCTCGTACAGTCACAACTTACCCAGTCATGGCGGTGGCCACCTACGACGTTACCAGCGGTTGGCTGGTCCTTGGGCCAGTACCACGCGTACATGATAGCGAACTTGCCCTTGTGCCATGCTGCTCGAGCATAGGTCTGGCCTTTGTTTTGGTCACGGCATCCGGCGCTGACATTTCCAGTATCCTGGAGACCTCCACTGTGAACAAGATGTGTGAGCGCTTGAAGTTTGAGTGCATCATCTCATAAGCTTACCTGGTGTTGCCATTGTCGTCAACTGCAGTGTAGGGCTGGCAGCCGTGAGCAATGTGAAGCAAGGGCTGGAACCTCAGGATGGCACGACCGATCGCTCCTCCTTGCAGGCGGGTCCGGATTGGGTTGAGGGAGTCGTGCGGGACTACAGCGCGAGTATCAAGCTGAGTTGGAGCGGGAGCTGCCAGGACGCCTGAAACTGCTGCAAAGGCAGATAGGATTGTAGTGAAATGCATTTTGGTGTAAAAGAGTGATAGAGCGAAGGGCCACTAAATTGACAAAGAGTGTGTGTGTTGATGTAAAGACTGTGTTGATGTGATCTGCGGGAAGCTGTGTCTGAACTGTAGAGGGGGTTGGTGGTGTCTTTTATGCTCAGAGCTTCTGCGCAGTTCAAGACGCCTTGCTGCTATCTCACGATACTAAGCTCGTGATACCATTCGGTGACATTACTCGGTGTTAAAGGTCTTGGTAAGAATGCACCTATATTGCATCGAAATATCACCGTACGAGTTCCATGAAGCTTGAGAAGTCTAAGAACTAGTTTCCTTACAAAGACACATGCGCCACGTGCGATACGATACTACTTTGCTTTCATAGCTTAGGAAGATGCTTGGCACTCATGGATAACCTAGGACAGACAGGTGCCAGTGGGTCGGCGCCACGCCTACTCAAATTATACGCAGTACAATTTGACGGTTGAAAACCGCACCAGACGCATTAAGTCATGACAGTATTCTAATAATAAGCCAAGCCTGGCAACGTCAAATCGCAGGGTAATCTCATCTTAATGCAGGCTCTGTAAAACGTGAATAGGAATCGTCACATAAACGAGGATTTCATGGATGCCAGAAAATATCAACATATCAGAACCTTCGTTCAAGTCCTCAGCTCTTGGCAGCTTGCATTGCGGTTGGGATGGGTCATCATGGATACCTGGGTGTGCATCGCCTTGAAACACGACAGTGGCCTGATCCAGTCTGGAGTGAAGCCATTGCTAGACCTGCAAAAATTCAGCTGCAGTTAGTTCCCCCAGGTTGCTGCGCCGAGACTATGCCAGCTAAAGACTAAGTCTGTAAGCAGTCACCTCTAGCCCACGTCTAGGACGTCGCGATCTGCGTGCAGGGGCTAGAACTGACCAGGTGGTGTTGCAATGCACAGGCCACCCTACCAAAGTCGCTGGCAGACCTGCATCGAAGGCATAATGAAGGAACTGGTGAATCCCTACAGGCGCCAATACTGGTGCCCCAAGAATGGGGCCGTGTTGAATGGCGTTGTCTTGTTAGTAGCAGTACATGTCCCACGGAATCCAACATAGTACCTAGTTGCAGCAACTAAATCTCAGCGTGGATGGGAAGTTCCGTAGACTGTGCACTAGGGGATCTCTCGCGATGACGTGCCGCACGATTTCGGGCTGTGGCGTGCTATAGCTAGCTCGTTTCGCTTGCGTCGGCCCTTTACACAGGGCCGTTCATGCTGTTCCAACAACTCAGCCGAGCAATCCTAGGACACATGTAGTTTGGTCAGGCACCAATTCTAGATCGAACCCAAGACCGTCTTCCATGTCCCAGTCCGAGTCTCTAGTCTGACCAAGCGAATACGTCGTTCAGTCTTGAATAGGGTAGTCGTAATCTTATATCGCTCTTGTCCCGGAACCTGGGTCGTGAGCTCTGATATCGGTAGCTTGGCAACAGATTTTTGTGTTCGATAGCGGTGCCTCCCAATGCTTCATATCTTTTTTCAATACAGTATTATGTATTTCGCCCATCAAGAATCTTGCCTGCCGTTTGTCGCTCCTTGTTCATACATAATCAGACGTGGCGAGATGTCTGGCGCAATAAACACATGTATGGAAAACTTGATTGGAGAAACACGTGGGCGGGCTGTATAGCCAGTAATCGAATTGACAAGCTGTTGTGTAACCCAAGCTGAGATGATGTAGTGTTCGTGCGGGAGGACTTTTATCACACGCCTACCCAGCCTGTAGCAAGCTTGATCAATCCGTAAGTGGTTTCGGTCTCTTCTTGTTTGCGCAGATTACAACTTTTTGTCCTCTCCAAACATCGCGGTATTCTATTTCGTGCTCCCTCAATTGGCCTCAGCCGGCCCACTCGGATATGGGGTTGTCAGGCTGTTTGCTCCGCAGTGGTCATGGCATGCCACGCAGAAGAAGGCGCTACCTGGGGAGCCACACGTGTAGCTACTGCTCCTGCCTACCAACATGGTTGCCTGTAACACTGTTTTTGGTACTTTCCAGGCTGTAAGGGCGACGTTTCTTTTGGCCCCGGTCCCTTAGAAGGTAATCAAATCTGCTTCTATTTGTCGTCCCGTCTAACATTCCACGGACAATGTTTGTAAGCTTGCCAACGAACATCCGCAAACACGTTTAAAAAAAAGTTGAGAGGTTTTCTTTTTGGACGGGACCAAAGACGTGGCGGGGTTGAGGCAGTAATAGCAGGGCCAATGGACGCAAAGCAAAGCACACAAAAACTTACATAGCTTTCATTCTGCCTGCATTGAATGCACAATTTTGCGAATAATGTTCATTCTCAGTACATCTTCACGAATCTTTTAATTATTGAGAAGTTATTGGCCGGTAGTGAACCAACAGAGAAACGGTGTGAAGAGTCCAGAACCTGATACGCCTGGGCGTGTTATTCTGACATTACCGCGACCACAATTCCCATCCACCAAGTACCAAGGCTGCAGCGAGTGCTGGCTGTACCGACGCACCTGTTGCGACGGCAGCGTTCGACGAGGCAGGAGACTCAGTAGTCGTTGGGGCTGCAGTAGCGAGACTCTGTGAAGCAGACAGACTTTCTACGACGCTAGATATGCTGCTGACCATGGCTCCATCAGGCTTGATGGCGCATGGATCCCCGTTGTCTCCTAACTGTAGCTGACCCAGTGAACAGACGTCCGAATCGCTCGCGTGGACCCTGGCGAAAGTGCCCAATTGCGCGCAATTGTCTGTGACATTTCCGAGCGTGTTTGGATTAGGGGCACTCCAATCACCGGGCGATATGGATGATACGGGCCAAAGGGTAAAAAGTACTTCTCGAGTTGAAGTTATGACAGGTCTGGGGTGGTCGCACTGGGCATCGATATCATGCCATTGGATATACCACTGCAATGCATATGCAGTGCCTCCATAGTTTGGTGGATGATCCCATTCCTTTGGATTAGTGTAGTTGACCAAAATGTACGGTGATCCATCGGTGTTGGTGAACGTGGATACATTTTGCGAGGTAAATTCCCTGTCCCATAAATCCTCAATCACGCCTCCTGGGATAGGATTCTCGATGCTGTTCCACGGCATGATATCCCATGTGAATTTGAAGGAACCGAGTTCAGCAGCCGCAGTAAGGTTCTGGAAGGCGAACACGATGGGCAATGAGGAGGTGAAGTTGTATGTTTCATTTCTGCGAGGAAACAAGATGTCGATTTCGAAAGCTGGAAGGTTTGAGGTTGGGGCTGAGGTTTGCGCTGATGATGTGGGTGTGAAGGAAGCGACAGCTGTTGCTGTGGTCTGAGCAGAGGCTAGGCAGCAGACAGCTAGAGCTGCTGCTGCACACCGAGAATAGCGCGACATCGTGGTGTAAGACTTTTGCGACAACTCAGAACGATTAAAACCACAGCATCATTCCTTCAGTATCGTGATGTGGCAATAAGTTTGTCGCGTTGTGTATCAAGGCGGAAAGACCCTTTGCAATCTTAAGATGCCGCGCTACCGTTCAGGCGCCCAACTAACCGTATTTTGTACGTGGTGATGGTCACCTTCTTCCCTATCACCTGACTACACTCTTTGCTCTCAGTACTAAAGTCTAGAAGGAGTAGAATTCAACCTCAGCGATACCAGTTCTTGTCGGAATTGTTATGGCAATAGGAAATCCTCCATAGTCGGGGTCTTCATTTGGCATCATCGCGTTCGCTCCACTTCTCGTCTCATCACCGCCCAACGTTCTGAGTGTTCGTAATGAACCTGTCGCTACGTCATCTACGATCTTCTCTTCGTTCCTCAGGATACCGTTGAACTTTGTGTCGGCCTTTGTCGATCGACCCATCACCTGAAACCCCCAGCCGATAAGTAAAAAGCTCGCTCCGCCACGATGGATGACCATACCACTGCCAGTTCCAGGCTTGCCAAAGACAAAGGAGCGCTCTACAGTGATATCCCAGTCGCCGAAACGTTGCTTGATGGGTTTGGATGGATCTCTATCGCCGATCATTTCATCAAAACAGAAGCCAACCGACGAGCCTGGATTACTTTGCGCTTCAAGGACAATCTGAGAGACCTGTGATAAGAGTCCATAGTGTTTCGTATAAGGATTTTTCTCAGGCTCTAAAGTGTCGATGCCGAAGGGGCTAGCCAATAGAGCTTGAAAGGTTCCGTAGGCTATCCAAATCCGACGAACGCCATATTCATCTCTTCTCTGCTCAGGGATAAAAAGCGTGTTATCGCCATGTCGGTACTTCGCGCATAAGCCAGTGTACTCATTAAGATAAATGTCCGGCGCAATGAACTCGAGGTCTGGCGCAAATCGTAGCCATATATCAAGAACGTTGCTTGTTGCGCCTCCGGAAGGATAATCACCAGGCTCTCCGCCTCCGCCCACGACGATAGGAGTGTCGTTGTCAGCATCCTCCCCAGCATAGTTCTGCCATACGTTGGTGTACAACGGGATTGTGTATACGGATTTACCAGCCGCTGCTACACGATTGACATAGTGTGCGTAATGGTACGCCATGAAGAGCTCGTCAGTCCTGCTACCAACGCCAAACACTTCCTCCCATGTACCAGACTGCGGCTTCGAGCGCGCGACGAAAGTCTGGAGGTTGGCTTTGAGATCGGCGTGTAGTCGATCATAGTCGTTGCTCAAGAATTGAAGAAGTTCTGCTGGTACTGTTTCAGAGAAGACTTTGTTAGCCTCCTCACTTCCGTCCCGGCTGTCGAATAGAAGACCGACTTCATTCTCGACTTGCACCATCAACACGGTACTGTGATCTTCATCTATCTCTTTGACATGAGCAAGCAGCTTTTGAAATGCTTTCGCATCCGCTTCAACATTCTGCTTGTGGAACAGAGACAAGACATCTGCAATCTCAATCACTCCTCCGGCCCTTCGAAGTTCAGCGCGTGGGAAGCGTTTCGGATCCTTCTTCACCCATGATGGCGTGTAAGTCGATCTGCCTAGCGATGCACCTATCAGTATATGGAAATAGGTCACGAGAGTACCTAGGTATGCCGACTCACCATTCTTAAATGACCCGAACCATAATAAGATTAGATGTAAGCCGTGTTTTCGTGCATCTAATATGACTTTGTCCAGCTCTTTAAAGTCGAACTTGCCTTCCTCAGGCTCAATCATCTCCCAACTGACGGAGCCAAGAAGAGTATTGACATTCGTTGCAACCATCTTAGGCCAAATCTCGCTCATGTATTCGGCAGACGAAAGCGAGGAATTTTGCAGCTCCCCGCCTAGCATCAGATACGGTTTGCCATGAAGAATAAGTTGTTTGGTGTTTCCACATTGTCGGAGGTGAGGAATTGAGGAATTGGAAGTCATGATGGATGATAAAGACTCAGAAAACTCGCGTATGTATGCAACAATAAGGAACAAAAAGACAATCCTCACAGCTCAGGTAGGCAGTCATGAACGTTCACTCTGGGCGCTCGTTATGCAACAAGTGGAGCTCTGCGGGGTTGCTACAGCGGGGTAATACCCACCGAACAGAGGACTTTGTGAGATCTACCGGTGCTAGAAATGCAGCTACACTACTTACATCCCAGGGCCTCTGGTGTCAACAGCAGCTGCATAGATCTCCTAGTGGACAGCAACAATAACTCTTTTGTCCTTGATATCGTAATCGCCCTACCTCCGGCTGGTGTTGCATTGATGACGCGTTGGCAATCATCCAGAGCGCATGGAGCAATACTAGCTACCATCCTTATGAACCGGCATCATCAACTCCGCTCTTCGTCAGTTGAAGGATGCATCCACTGTCATCTTGACCAATAACCTGAGGGGCCAGCTTCAGTATCCTGACCTTGAGACTACCAAGTCTAAGGCTGATGCCGATGGTTATCTACTAAAGCTGAATTGCGTTCGTACTATGTAACATGGTCTAGGATGTGTAAAATACATCTTGCGCAGGCAATATGACTCCGCCATGTACTGCAATCAGAAGAGAGGGCGCTTCATTGGTGAGAAATGGGAAACTACGTAGTTATGTACAAAACAATATGGATCACGTAGGAAGACTGAAAGGTTAACCTCCCGATAATGATCGTATGCTAGCAACATACCTAGGTATTCATGCCTCATAGAGAGGTTTCCCTACAAGGAGTACGCGTCGAAATCACACAAACCCAATCCTTCCAAGGAACGCCTCAAAATTACTAAATCCATCCCATCCACCCACTCCATTAACAGTCTCTTGACTCCACTTCACGCCCTCATCTGCGCCAGGCCCATAGTATGCCCATTCCTTAATCATGATCATATTTTCCAACAACTCCTGCCCAGATTTCCACTCTTCATCTGCCACTTCCTTGAACTCACAACTCTTTCCCGTGACTCTCACCACAGCTGCGCAAACATCGAGAGGTGTGACCCATGCACTCGCAGCGAGCACGTGCTTGCCAATAGTAGCTTTTGGATCAGCGAGACATGAAGCTACAAATTTCCCAAAGTCGGTGGGGACGTCTAGCATTGGAATCCGAGTATCTGGGTGGAAAAGCAAAGATAACGTGTATGCGCAGCCATCTTGACTCGGCTTGATAGACCCAGGAACATTCGTCATGAAATAGCCTGGAAGCACGAAAGAAGCTGGTTGACCGGCTTCGTTGATGTATTCTTCAACCATGGCTTTGCTGTCAAAGTGGTGTAGGTTCGCCAATCTTCCACCAGTGATATTTGATACGCGAGGTAATGAAGACCAGATTAGGTGCGGAACCTTCCCTTCGATGCAGGCGTCTGTCAAATTGCGGCCCTGCTGGACTTCGTGGGCGAGTGATGCCATCTCCCAGTACTATGATGAATGTTAGAGACGGACGGCAATAGTTATGAATCAGAGCGAATAGTACATTTGTCACGCCAAAAACAGCGTCAGATCCGGTGATAGCTTTCAAGATTGACTCCTTGCTGTTGAGGTTCGCCTAACATGCTCAGTTTCCATCCATTCCACAATCGTCGAATCAAGAGACTCACAGTGACCATCTCGACACCTTTTGCTACCATGGCTTGCGCATCAGGTTTGTCGGGGTTCCTTGTAACTCCGCGTACCTTCCACTCTTTACTTAACTGCGGGTGATTCAAGATAGCTCGCACGACGGATCCGCCCTGGTTACCGGTAGAGCCGAAGACTGTGATGAGCTTGGTCATGTTGCAAAGCCGAAGCATTCGCGTCAAGTGCTGTTCTGAAATAATAAGATGCTGTTTAGCAACAGGTACTGCTGCTAATTATATAGCCCATCTTGCTCAAGCTATTCTTACAGCCGCAGAAATGGGTGGCACTACGCAGTATGCCCATTATGCATCATTCAAAGGTTGTACTTGCCCACGTGTTAACAGTTGCATGACAGTAGAAAGCTTCATCAGATGAGTAACGGGAGAGTAAGCTGAGAAAGCAGGTGAGTTGGACGAAGAAGGTTAAGATGGAGACCAAAAGCGGGGTGATAGCTTGATACATCGTTAGTGCATAGATGTGGGGGGATTACTCACCTAGGCGTACCCCTCGGCGCCTCGTCTACAGCGATACCTGAGGTCAACAAGATAAGTCGGGATAATGGAATGTTTGGCGAAGTGAGTCGATACTCTCTAACATTGCTTATATAAATGTGCACAAGCACATAACCAGGGTTTGCAACAATCCCTCACACTTACAAAATCCCAACAGTATAGACCCATTACCGCGCTACATCGATCTTCTTCGTCCCGTTGTATACAATACACTCATTCGTAACGCTAGGTCATCTCGTTCTGTTCTCTTCTTTCTGAATATCAAGAATTTTTCCAACGACTGCCCTCAAATGACCTGCCCTGGCACGCCCAAACCTTGAACCATCTCGTCCCTGGAATCAATTTCGCGTCCGAGGGAACCCTAGTCATCACCAGGTTCAACTCCAGACTCAAAAAACCTGGCATCAAGACTAAAGTTCTTAAGGTCAGGAGCCGGCTCGGCGTAGTAATCATCGGTATCCTGAAAGCCGCCGTGGTCGTATCGAGCACTGCCAGCTTCAATTTCGCGAAGAGGTTTCTTGTTGCGGCCATTAGCGACAAGGTTACCGTAGCGGGAAGACACTCCGCCTCTTCCAATAGCTTCCCTTTTTGCGGCCTTCTTTGCGTCTTTAGCAGTGTCTTTTCGAAGCTTTTTGCCGTACCACTCCCACTTCTTCATCCCGTCGGAAGTAAGCTCTTTTTGATCCCCAATTTGGTCACTTGTCGGGTTGTTATTGACCTTATCCCTTCCTTTCTCTCCGCTCACAACCAGCTCTTCATCTTCTTTCGCAAAAATGTACTTTTCTCTAACCCAATCTTTTCTCTTCTTGCCGACATCACCACGCCTTCCAACAAACCCACCCAGTATCGCTGTAGCCCGTAGGTAAGACATATCGGGATCGAATGGACTTTCACCTTCTTCTACTGGACGATATACCTCTTGATAGTGGTCAGTCTGGAACAGAGGTTCAGCGGTGGACCGATTTCGCGTTTCATTGGCAATATTGGTTGCGAGAGTCTCGGCGTTGGAGGTTAAGCCAAACAGTGTCGCAGGTGTCGCGTTAGTCCAGAAGTGGACTGTAGAAGCCTTGCGCTTGATTGCAGTCATGGGCGATGACTCGGCAGTTTCCTGTATCTGATCTTGCCCAGAACCAGCAGGAATTGGTTCTTGCCCAGAACCAGCAGGAATTGGTTCTTGCTGGTTCCTGTTCTTGCCACGCCTGCAACCGTGTCTTCGAATGCGTTTGCCCCATCTATGACCAAGTGTAGCACCGGCTTGGCCTTCAACCTCGTTGGCAGCTTCTTCATCTACTAGAGCGCCGTCGTAACCAGTGGTCTGCTGAGGAAAGAGATCGTGACCCTCCTGCCAATTTGTGTATGCCCTGACCATCTGCCTGAACTCTATCTCTTCATCAGTTTGCTACCCTCGAGAGTTTCACTCAACAAATTGATTGCAGCATCATCGGATTCCTACCAGACAGCTTGCTGAGTATATCTGCACTTGTGTTTCTACGGAAATGAGTCCAGAATGATCTGTTGTCTTCGTGCCGTAAGCAACTGCTTGCAGTTTTGTGGTGTTTGTGGATGTAGGAAGAAAACACCAAGAACCAGGCGCTAGTGCGTGAAGTGCAGCCTCAAAAAAGTTTCTTTGTAAGCAAGCCTTGGCTCGCGTTCTCTGTTATGCCTCCGAGGAGTATCGTTGAAGTTTGTTACAGAAGATCTGCTGCTGTGGAGAAGACGTCGCGCCGCCGGACAGTAGATATACTGACGATAATGTAGTACCGACTACAGCAGCAGATGCGATATCCGTGAATGGATTGCACGGAATAGATAATGCTTCTCTAGTGCTAGCGAGAAGTGTTTCGTGGTATTAGTATTATTAAGTAGACATGTACAGTATCGTTCCAGCATCTAGTAGTAATTACCTCTCTCCCAAGCCCAAATGGTAGGAATTAGCTCGCACAATCATCTTAGAACAACGTGTCATCTCCGAAGCGCTCAGCATACATGCCCAGCGCCTTAATCGGGAAGATGAACTTGTAGTTCGGATACGAAATCATACTGTCATGACGTTAGCTACCATTATAACCGTCCAGTAAGATTGGTCAACTTACCAAGACTTGTTGAACACTCCCTCGATCGCCTCCTGTAGCCACTCTCCGTTGGCCTGCTGCCTCTTCATGATGAGTTTGACAGCCTTCTCCAGTGGTTCCTTATGCGGAAAACCACCCTCAATCATTGCGATAATCACCCAGGCAGTCTGCACAACCTGACTTTGTGGATGCTGATCCCAGACACCGTTCTCGCAGCTCTTGTATGTCTCGCCCCAGCCTCCATCATCCATCTGCTTGTCTAAGAAGAACTGGCATGCCCGTCTCACACGCTCGGAGTTTTCGTACTGTTCGCCAGAGCACTTGAGTGATTCAAGAGCAAACATGCCGGCGTAGGTAAAGCATATACCCCAGCTACCGTACCACGAGCCGTCAGGGCGTTGTGCAGCTCTGATATACGATACAGCGCGGTCGCGGAATGCAGAAATCTCTGCAGTGCGGTAATCTGGGTAGTAGTTTTGGAACATGTGAAGTGCGGTCACCACGGCGGTCGTGCATTCGGGGTAATCGTACTCTATCATGATGTTGCCGAAGACCTCTGCTGCGTTGAGGTGCTCTAGGAGAATACTTCCTCGTGTTGGCTCGTAGGAAGCACAGCCACCAGACGCGTTTTGCATGGTAAGCAGGACGTCAATGGCGTCTTTCACACGGCGTTCATTGATGAGTTCAGGAAACGCGTTGCCGTTCTGCAGGATGAGTGTACTCTTGAGGCCTTCAGACGTGCAGTCGCTAACGGTGTATCCTTGCTTCCGTGTACTGAAACCCCAGGCACCCTTACGTTGTTGACGATAGCATGCATGTTGATCTCTGGTTTCTTCAAGTATCTGCTGGTCTTCCAGGAACTCGAGACTCTTTGTGAGCATGTGCTTCCACTTCTTATCTTTTGACCAGCCGCAGGATTCAACGGCTTGGATGAGGAACGCAGTGTCCCATGTTTGCACACCATTCGTACCATTCATAAGCATACCTTCATCCTTGACCCAAAGAAACTCCGGGAGGGTTTTGAGATGCTCGCGAACGGCATGGCAATCACGTCCTTCTCTGATGTATGCGACCAGCGTATTCATGGGACCGTTCACAGGACCAAGGTTTGCGAAATCAGTGTTCTCATCCTCAGCTTCAATGAGCCACCATACGTGTTCTTCGGCACGCTTGATCATCCAGGTGGGTCGAATGTACGGAAACCAGATAGCAGCCAAGAACCAAAACAGAAGTTTGAGCATCCATGACTTGGCATGATAATTATCCGTAGAGGCGATGGTGTTCCGGTGCGCACCAAAATTGATCGTGTCAAACGGCTGCATCAACAGCTCGGCGCGCAATTGACGTGTAAGATCGTTCAGCGGATACGACCACTTCTTGGAGTAGATATACGACATGGGCAGAAAAACTTGTCGCATGTGTATCCACCATCTCCAAGGCGCGATGGGCACCCAATCAGGTAATAACCATAGCTCAGGTGGACAAGGATTGACAATATCCCACTCCGTCACACCTAGCACGCTCAACCAGAATTTTGCCCAATGTGGTGCATTGAGCGCACCACCCAGTTTCCAAAGCGTGTCTCGCGCTTTCTGCATCCGAGGCTCTTCTGCCTCTACGCCCAAAAGCCTAAGCACAGTATAATTCATCGCGGTACCGAACACAGTGCTTTCGCCCTCAATGTGTAGCCCCCAGCCACCGTCCTCGGGGTTGGCCCGCGCAAAGAGGTAGTTCTTGATTTCGGTCGCATGCGACGCTGGTACTGGTGTCTCGGTGACATACCAGGTGATCACAAGGCCAGGTAGCAGAAACATAGGGCCGCCGTATTCACAAGCCCAGTTTCCTGGTGGGAGCTGGAGTTGGGAGAAGAATTCGAGACCATTGTGTGCAGCTTCGAGGGGAGTCTTTGCAGGCTTCAGGGTAGGTTGTTCCTATGAGTTCAATCAGCTCAAAGGTCCTGTGTGGATTTACAAAAGACGACTGGAATAGGCACCAACTCACCGTATCGAGGCCTAGAAAGTATTTATCCGCTGTACTCTGTGGCCATGCCTTCATGTCCTTGTCGCTTTCGAGGTAGTGCCATGTCTGACATCCCCGGTCATCCTTCAACCTCCACCTTGTGTAGTCGGTCTTCTCATGACCGTCCTTGCTCTTGGTCACGCCTACTGCGTCGTTCAGTATCTTTTGCGCCGCGCCGCGCTTCGTAGCGCCATTGCTTTTCTCAATGGCATGCGGCATTGTGTGTGTATTTGGTTCGTGTGGTTCTGAACGTCACCCTACACGTTGCGTTCACGTGTGAAAGACGTGATAGAACTGGCATGCGCCTCGTGCGGCGAGATGCCCCGGGAATGGGCGTCTTGGCAGGACGCGCCATCAGAGGCGACAACGGCCTTGCCAGTCGCTGCATCCGGCATACTGGCTGAGCAACTACATTCACACGCTAACAGAATGGAACTTCAGATATATGCTTTCAGATCGCCTACGTGTAAACGTGGTTTGCGCGCGTCAACTTTTCCATCTCACATAATCCCTTAGACCCTGGCTACAATGTACATCATCATCGCACCCCTGTTATCTACCACCACGGAATCTTGAAGCCATTGCAAAGCCACACGCCGTTATTATCTAAGCATCCCCTACGCGTCTCTAGACTTTCTCAAACATCACAAATACCACAAGTCCCGATACATACACAGCCACTCGCCTGGCATCGCCCCTGACTCAACAGCGGGAATCAGTCTTGGCAGGCACTCCCGCGGCGAGGCGCGCGATCGACATAAAAGTTGACCACTCGGCTCGCGCAAGGCTTGCATTCCCGCCCCCTTTCAAACTTTCGCGCGCAACACAACGCACAGATCACTAATCCTCGTATTGGCGGAACATGGGAGCATCCGAGACCGAAGCTTTGGATCGACGATGAGTGTAGAGAAGGCTAATGGAGGCATGACTTCATTACATACGTAGAGCTGGACTGGGTAACCGCTCGGCGTGTATGCAGATAGGAGATGGAGATCTTCATGTATGACGAAAGATTGCAGATGATGTGTAGACAATGACGGCGATGACGATGGTGACAAGGGAAGTGTGGAGATGAGCAATGTGAATCGTTGGTTGTGCGTTCATTCAATCCTCGCATTCAGTTGGCGGCGGGTATGATATGGTATGTACAGATACTATGCGTTATGTATCGAACGAGCGAGAACCTCCAGGGCAGTCGCTCTGCACGCTCAAGATCGAGTGCCCCTCCAACAATGAGACTTAAGCAACAAAGGAAAAAATGCATGTGCCATCCAAGTATGAAAACACCATAGTACGCTGGAAATATGCCATAGTAAAAAGCCGTGAAATGCTAAACATGCTTCAGATTTTCAAAAGAGGGGGAAAGCGGTGATTCGTGGCTCCCGTGAAACCAATTCGGTCTTGAGTATGCGGTAATCGTGTATGCTGTGGTAGTGGTGGCAAAATAAAAATCGTTGTTTCGGGTATCGCAGAAAAAGTAGCCTCTCATCCATCTGCCCTTGGTGGGCAAACGTGATCAATCGCTCAGGTCGGGGTTTGCAACGAACAACCTTGTCCCCATGGTCATGGTCCGCTCGTCTACGCTGCCCCTCCGCACTAGGTCGTCCTTACTGCCCTTCTTGTCCGTTGTAGCGGGTGGTTTGAGCATTCCAGGCGCTGGTAATTGCCCCATGTCACCGAAATTGCGTTCGCCACTGCTACCACTACCCGTACTTGTGTTCGTTTTGGTGTGCTGAAAGTAGCTGTTGTCGTTGGGCGCGTTGACGTCGTATTCCGCGGGGGACGGAGTGGGTTCTTCCTTCAGGTCGGCAAGTTCGCCGTCGGGGGATGAGTTCTGCGGGGGTGTGCTGTTGGAGGATATTCGGCCGGTGGGATTGGCGTAGGACATGCGGCGCCCTGAACCGAGCGAGGAGCGGCCTGAGCCTGTGCGGTGGTGGTATTGGCCGTTCTTGACTGAGCCCGCGTCTTCGTCGTCACCTTCGTCTACCTCTGAAGCACTCAGGCGCATAGGCACACCTGAACCTGCGTATGTGACTGGTGCGTATAACGACGCTTTTGGTAGACCGTGATGACGTCCAATCTTGGACCGCACACCGCCAGCCATGCTGGATCCTCCCGAGGCACTTCGCGGCGGGACGTGGTGTGGGCCGCCTGCTACTTCCATGTTTGCCCGCATCTTGGCCTGTCGTTGCTGTGCGAGCATACGCGGGTCTTCGTACTGGGCTCTGTCACACCAGACTGTGGCCTTTTGTTTCCGCATAAGGGCAACGTAGGAGGTGGGCGAGTTACCGCCCGAGCGTGTGGACGAGGAGCGACGGAGGGCGCCACTGTTGGAGCGGTTCGGGGTGCCTGTGGTAGAGCTGGTGGACGAGGTGGGCGTGCGGCGGAGACTGCTCTGGTACTGGGTTGGATATTGCGAGTTCATAGTGCTTGTGGTAGGCGATGCAGCGGGGAAGATGCCTGAGCTGGTTGTACGTGTTCGTGAATGTCCTAGTTGGCCGTCGTTGTGGTATTGATGCTGCGGGGGTCGTACCGAAATGCCGGGGTTTGCTATGGGCTTGCGGCGGAGAGGAACAGCCCCGTAGGCAGAGGTTTGTGGGGGTTGCGCCATGACAGCCTGCATGTTTGATTGACTCTGCTTGCTTCGCGTCACGAATCACGGGAAGTGAAACACGGATCAGCGGGCTGACGTCGGGGCGACAGCGTCAAAGAAACACAGACAATGACGTTCTTTTTTGGCAAACTAGCAATCTCTTGGCTCGCGGTGAAGAGGAGCCGGTGTTTATGTAGCAAGCAGTCGTGGTCTGGCGGGAGAGCTCGCTTGGCGCCCCGCTGAGAAAGGTGTTCTGCAGCCCTGTGATGCTAATGCACTGACTTCCCACGGCTTCCGGCAATGGGCTGATGTGAGGTGAGGCACAAAGTTTGGTGATGCTTATGATATGCGGGCAAGGGACAGCGGCAGCGACGGCGGGGCGAGAGAGTCGACGCCCCGCGGGAGGAGTCGAGATTGCAGGTGGAGGGATGGGGGATTTGCGACGACTTGGGGTGCTTGGGTTGCCGTCGAGTCGCGGGCGGGAAGGGTCCTTAATAGCAAATGGTCCAGTCCAGCCAGAGACGCTAGAAAAGCTTACTCTAAAGAAAGAAAAGGTCAACACGAGCCATTTGAGTGTTTGAGAAGAAGAGCAGACGCCCGCTGGCTTGCGACAATTGAGCCGTAGTGCATGCACGGCGTTGCAGTGCGCGAAATGCTGACTTACATATGGATGCGGCGTCTTCGTCTTGTACTAGTCCAAGCCGGTCCTGCAGCAAGCAGCGGCACACACTCAGCTTTTGAATAGGGAATTACAAAAAAGAAACGTCGAGCGCAGTGGGTTAAGCGGGTGGGGAACAAAGGGAATAGTGTGGAATGGTAGGAATTGATAGCAGCAGAATCGGGAGGAGTGCGCCCGCAAGAGGAAGAGGCCGTGTCTTGTATCTTGGGTACTCTCCGTGCTTGCCGTTGAGGGCGATCGCGCTAGAAATGGGTGAGCCGACACTTGGGAACCACGTCTCCACCACGCAAGTGTCAATGACGAAAGGTTGCTCTGCACTGTCGCCATGGCGTATTATTATACGATTACCCACGCGCGCCAGAGCACGTCCATAGTAGGTTGCTGTTAACGCCACAAAACCTGAATCCGCCGTGTACAAGAGGGCACACTGAAGTCAAAACAGCCGCCCCAGCGAAGCGGAGCCCAGTCCGTATACGGCTCACCACTGCTACCTTGAGCCTTGTGCGCCGAGCATCCTGGCTGACCTGCTGCTGCATATCGCAAACTTCACGAATCCCACTCGCTGCCGAGCATATGCTCTCCGCGTCGAATCATCGGCAAACGTGGCTCGAGCATTGCGGGCTGCAGGACCCAGTTAGCTGTGCATGATCGCCTCTGGTTGCATGCTGCTGCCTTTTTGCTTTTGAACCTCACTTTGCACGGCTTGCCAGTGCTACGTTTGACACATCGCTTACTGCACCGGCTATGCTGTTTCACTCTCTTCCAAGCGTGCCAGCATCTTGGTTGCAAATCGATCAATAGCCGCAACCACTGTCAAACTTCACCCGCGCCCATCGCCAACTCTGCCGGCGCCATCATCGCGAGACCTCACCCCAGCGCACATCCGACCAGGATACAACCAAGGCCCTGATACCGTTTCATCTAACGTGATGTGTTGAACAGCCCGCCCACAGTCCTTGCTCGTTCCCTCGCTCTCGTCTATATGCCAGAGTGGGGTTGCATGCACGTTGATGCACCATCAGCCGTTCCCCGCTCTCTAGCACTGCGCACTCAACCATGGAACACGCTGCAACGCCAGCCGAACTCTCCCAGATCGTGATCTCTGCGAACGTCCGAAAAATGTTGAGGCTCTTTTTTTCTGCATCACCACATCCACCGTCGCCGTCTTCGGTCAATTCTGCCCGGTAGATCCGCTTCGGCCTTCGCCGAGAATCTTCTAGTAATTAGCATTGCCACCTCCTGTACATCTTTGTCAATAACCCGCTGCGTTTCTGATAATACCTATCGATAAACACTTTCTGTGGAGATACGGGTTTCGATGGGTATTCATAGAGGAAAAATTGGAGAACAGCCCGTACAGAGGACAAGCGTACCAGACTCTGCGTTGTGGCGTAGCATCGCGTAGCAGCATCCTGGAGCAACATCCTCCTGCAAACGCCGCCACTGAAAAGGACCCTGAAGAGCTGAATTTGTAGATCATTGCTTGATTGTGCCGCCTTCGGGTCTTTGTGACCCCGCCTTCGGTCGTATATGATTATCGCCAGCCTCAATCCTCAAAAGACAAACCGTGCGCCGCCGACACGCTCTCAGCGTCTATAAGACGCCTGCTTCCGTTGCCATGATGGTGTTGCACGCCTAACAGGTCGACGACGCGCTACCAGGCATCATCCCTCTGGAGGCGCAAATGATCAATACAACAACGGCACATGATTCGTGACCATCCACCCCTCCACCCACACCACCAGAATCCACAGTGCCAGTGAGACCCAAGACCTTGGTTTGGAGGGTTACACAAACGTCCGCAGATCTCTTACCTGCATACAAGATCGCACACCACAATTTGCATACTCGTTTTCTCTAGCGGCTTGTGTACGAGTAATGCCCCTTGGCTACGACAGCGCGAGCAGTGAGCACAATACAAGGCTCGGTTTCTGCCGTGCTGACGAGAACCGCACCTGCATCGTGCTACGACGACTGGGTGTCGTATCTCCAGACGGGGTAGTTGTTATCGTCAACTGCTGCTTTGGGCAATAGGCTTGCGCTCGGTAGGCAGCTGATCCGGCATTTAGGTCCTAGTGTCGGTCTTGTGCCGCTGTCATCGGGAAGGTACATTGTGGTCCTGGATAAGTGTGTGATCAAGACGTGCCGACTGCATGAGGGGTTTCTCCGATGCTTGGACAGCTTTAACATCGTACGAGTATAGTTGAATTGTGCATGCACAAGTTGCATTCTTGCAGTACACTAAGTATCGTATGAGGGGCACGCACCGCACGTGCGGAGATAACATGGAATTCAATACATGGGAATCGAATTTCCAAAAACACCTCGCCGTATCGAGTACAGTGTCGCTCACAACCTAGTAGATGTAAGGGATCAGCTGATACGGGGTCTTCTGCTTGAACTCCTCCCACTGCACTCCGTAGCGCTTCTCGCAATATTCACTAAGAATTGGAATCGCTCGCTGGGTAAAGTCCCAGGCAAAGAAGGCTCCCACCAGCGCACCCAGCGTGTAGCCGCCACCGACCATGGCGTAACCCGCCCTCCAGATTGTGTAGCCGCCGTAGTTAATGTGGCGGGCGAAGCTCCAGAGACCTCCAGTGTACGCCTTGCCCTTGTTGTCTGGGTTCACCTTGAAACGCTTGCGCTGTACTTCGGCAATTAACTCAGTCATAATACCCACGACGTATAGCGAGCCGCCAATGAGGAGCGCTGGTTGCGGGAAGTCGGCTTCGGTCGAGGCAGAAGTAGCAGTGGTAAGGAAAGCGTATGTGCTCAGACTGTTGAACACAGCATTAAAGACACCTACGGCGATGGCACCTGTAACTGGCATGGGTTCTCCAGAGAGTGCTGTCACCCAGATGTTCTGCTTCACAGCAGCGCCAACCGCCATTCCAAGCAACACCAACCGGTAGGGTGACAAGCCCAAGCCATCGATCAGAGAGATGCCGGTATGCGTTGGAAGCCCAGGAGGCAATGTTCGCAAACCTACACGATGCAGGACGGAGGTGCCTAGGCCATGTGCGAGAATTGAATATTGGAGGACAGGCTCGATGCCGCGCAGGATGAAGAACGTCGCTTTGCCTAGTGGTGTAGGTGTGTAGTCACCACGCGCGATGAGGTCCTTCTTCTTTGATGCGTCCGACCGAGGGTCATTCGGGTTCCCTTTCTGGCCTTGACCCGGCGCCATTGTGAATCAATTGCTTGGGACTGTCGCTGTCAGTACAGTCGTCGAGAGAGCTCGGGTAGAGTGGGGTTACCTTGTCTAAACTATCGCAATAAGTGGTACCGAGACACTTACATATAGCTGGCGCTATATGTACAATTTCTCTTCGGGCTGTTGAAGTGCGCTCGGGCACTTGAAAGCGCGAGGCTGATTAACGGCTTTGATGGAGGATCATACGACGGGTCATGACGTACACGCTAGCCGTTCGCTCGGCTTCATCCACCTTGGAAATGCCGTTGGCTACACGATCAGAACATCATTGACCCTTCATTCTGAATATTTGGCTACTCAAGGCCTATATGATACGACAATACACGGCCATGATCCGCTTGAAGAGATGGTTACTGTTAGCCCGAGGCACATGGGACGTACTCCGTTGCTGTCTGGTTCAAGCTTGGTCCTCGCGTGTTCCCGTGACGACTTGCATTAGCGCGTCAGTCAAAGCGCGTTCCCAGATGCCCCTCTATACGTCCTACCTTTACTCTGTTGAGACGCTTTAAGGCTTTTTTCGTTCAACAACAATGATTTCATTGCTATTCTTATCAATATTATGACAGAACCAGAATCTCAATGCCACAGTTTGACTTTCCTTTCCACTTTTGATTGTCCGCCCGGTGTTACCCGTGTCAGTGGTGACATTTGTGCGGTTATGGTCAGAATATTGAGGCCTACGAAGATGCGCATGCAACCACAGTCAAGTACGCAGCTGCATATACCGTAGTTTTACACTGCCATCTCATGCGCGCGTATGTCGAGCGCGTTGGTACTCGAGAGCAGTGGCAGATTACCTATACGCGATTTTGATCAAGTGCACCCGGACGCAAGCGCTTTATTCGCTATTACCTCGGAGGGTTCACGTCTTGTGTTTACCGGCTCGACGTTAGAAACATAAACACCTGCGGCCTATCACGATATTTTACGCTTCCGTACATCGGTATCCAACCATGACCGTTACTTTCCGCGCAATCTGTAGCCTCCTGCAAAATATCGAGATTGCCACGACACAGCAATCACGTTTACCTACAAATCAAGAGAAGAGTAATATACGCGAGATAATCTCGAACTGGTTCGTTGATCAGAGAGATGCTCTCAATGACCCTACGACGAATAGTAGTGCTGTGCTATCAGCTCTCTTTCCACATCGAAGGAAAGACCGAGTCTATGGCCTGCAGCCGCCCTTACTGGCAAAGAAAATTCTCAAGCTACTCGCCTTCAATCATAGTCAACGTGCACTTTTCGATGGCTGGAAAACAGGAGTTCTTGGAGACCTCGGTGCATACGTCGAACGAGCAATGAGGCCATGGGATGGCACTTTCAACAGTAAACGTGCGTTGCCAGTCGAACAAATCGACGATCTCCTCGTACAACTAGCGGCGAGGTGCCGGTTCTCTGATGAAGCCATCCGAAAAAAGTGTCATTTGGATGTCAAAGTAGACATGGAGCTCAAGGACATACTTGTGAGGCTTGAGTCTTGGGAAGCAAAATGGTTCGTCCGTCTTATCTTACGAGATCACCGCACCGTTGGACTTGAAGAGAATTTCGTTTTGGAACGCTACCACTTCTTATTACCGGAGTTGTTGATGTTCCAAAACGACTTCGACGCCGTTTTCAAAATGCTCAGGAGCGAATTGAGCTGCTACCCCCCAGTACCAGAGCCTACAAAGCAGCAGTATATGCGTCTTGAGGCGGCACAGAAACTGAGAGCTATTGTTGGAATCAAGGTGGGGCGGCCAACGTTCCATAAAGCTTGGTCTTTGAAGCACTGCATTCAGTTGGTGGGTCAACGAGCTTGGGCTGCCGAAGTCAAGTACGATGGCGAGTACTGCGAGATACACATAGACCTGGATCGTGCGCCCAATCATATTCAAATCTATTCTAAAAATGGGAAAGATGCAACAGCGGACCGAAGACCTCTACATGCTACCATTTACGAAGCTCTACGTATCGGACGACCAGATTGCAAGTTGAAAAAGAAGTGCATCGTTCTTGGCGAGATGGTTCTCTACAGTGACCGAGAAAGAAGAATCATGGCTTTTTCGAAGCTCCGAAAGCACATATCACGCTCCGGTTGTTTCATTGGCACACTCCAAGATTCCCTGCCGCACGAGTGGGAACACCTCATGATCGTATTTTTCGACGTCCTTGTATTGGATGACGAATTGACCCTACGTCACTGTCTGCAAGACCGCCGCAAGATTCTCCGAGACCTTGTCCATGTAGTGCCCGGTCGGTCAATGCGATCGGAGTGGACCCTATTGGATTTCTGCCAGGATAAGACAGGGGATGGCATAACAGACCTTAAACAGATATTCGCCCGGAACCTGGCCGAACGCCAAGAAGGACTCATCCTCAAACCGTTGCATGCACCGTACTTCCCACTGTTGTCAGAGCAGGGGCACCATCAAGCAGGTTTCTTCATCAAATTGAAGAAGGACTACTTGGCTGACATGGGTGGTGAGCGCGATCTGGGCGACTTTGCTGTTATCGGAGCTGACTTTGATGCGCAAACCGCGCCAAAAATTAATATCAAACCCTTGCATTGGACGCACTTTCATCTTGGGTGTTGTCTGAACAAGGATGCGGTGGAGCGTACGGGTGCAAAACCAAAGTTCATGGTCGTAGCGAGCCTCAGTCTCGACAAGTGCATACCAAAGTCTGACGTCAAGTACATGAACATCCAAGGCTATGTTCGTCAGTCTGTCCTACAAGATGACGGCTCAACAGCCGAGTTCGACATTCAATATCCCAAAGGTTATGAAAGACGTATGACCACCGTGTTCAAGAGACCTTTCGTAGCTGAGGTCCTCGGCGGTGGGTTTGAAAAGCTTCAAAACGAATGGTTTGAAATGTTAAGACACCCTAGAGTCAAGAAGATCCACCCTAACAGAAGTTGGGAAGATGCTGTTTGTTTAGAGGACCTGGAACGTATGGCTGAGGAGAAGTGGGAGCTTCCCGATGCTGACAAGCTTGATGGCCATACTCGTGATATTGCTCTGTTGGCCAAGAAGTATATCAAAGAAATGGGCGGATCGCAGACAACAATGAAGACCGATGACACCACGCAGCAGACTACTCCTCGCTCCTCACCAGTATCGCCTGTTCCGGCTATCACGCGGACCATTAGCCAATCGGCATCCAATAGAACCGTAGTTCAGGAAACGCAAGAATACATCTACACTTCAGTTTCCACTTCCCATGGTTCTGCTGATGGTAGTACCCAAGGTAAAGGTACACGAGCCTCTCGTGAACTGCGCGTTCTTGTACGAGAGGACACATCAGAACGCCTAGGTGCCTCGAATCTCTCAGCACCAATATCAACAGCGTCCAAATCCGACAGCCTTTCATTGCACAAGTCCAGTGCGACATCGACTTTGTCGAACATAGACAAGCGATCCAGCTTCATGTGGGAAATTAGTCCACCCGATTCAAAGCGTAGAAAGGCGCTGGCTTCACTACGGTCTCCTGGAGGTAAACGTGACTTAGGTGGGTTTGATTATGACTCGCAGGAGGGGACCATCCACATCTATACGAGGAAAGGTGTAAAAGTGCAGGTACATACTGGATCTCAGGACAAGGAGCATAAGAGATGAAAGAGACGGTGCAGTAGTTGGTTACTTGCGCCCCCGCCACTCCCGCTATCTCTTATTCTAGTGTAATAGTACATCCACTCCAAGGCTACATGTTTGATGATTACCTACTCACACGACGGTGAAAAGATGACACGCCTGATACAGGTTCAAGCAGAGTAGGACAATCCTTTTCGTTACTTTCGCCCCTCGGTCTTTCTTCTTCCGCATACCAAGGAGCATAGAGCGCAATTGCACTAGGCACTCGCTGTATCGATCGTCCATGGGTTTTTCCTGCTCTTGCTTCGGTTCTCTTGTCTACACCAGGGTTCCTCCTCTTCCTCCCTGACCAAGACTGGTCAATCATACTTGCTTGCTCCGCCGAGATTTCTTGTTAACCAACTACATAGCAATCTTATGGCATTGTATCTCAACTTATCATCTTGAGTCAGGTAATGGTTGACAGATAAGACATTGGCTTACATAAGGGTCTAAGGCAGGTGGAGACGGCGGCGGGTGTGTTTCGGCTGCATGATCCTTGTCAGGCAGGGCCCAAGCACCGTCACCACCGACCGAGCGCGTGGAACTTTGGCTAGAGACAAGATTCAATGACGAGAGACACAACATCCACAGTAATGCGCTTTTCGTTTCTCTTTGCCTGATTGATGAATGCAAGCTTGATACAAGTCGACATCTGCTCCAGCATGCGATAAATCTGCCCCCCATCCACCCATGCCGCCGCCTATTCACCACCCCCGACCTGCGCCGCCATCATGTCCTCGCCCAATAGCCCACGGAGATCGACCGAGAGCTTCGAGTTCCTGTCGCCGAACCCGCCCCAGGGCTCCTTCCCGTTTCCCGCTTCAAACCATGACTGGACCAACAGGCCCAGCTCCACAGGCGGGCGCTACAAGCCGCGACGTGGCTCAACGGCGTCCTCGATACACTCGGTCGGTGGCTCGCTCGACAGCGGCTTCAAGAGCACCATGGGCGCGGTGAGAGAGCAGAGCAACAATGCCATCTCCACGCTGCTCACGCCGCCCATCATGAGGACTGGCATGGTCCCGCATACCACTGCTACAGCCACTTCGGGCCACCGCCCGCCATCTACCAAGGACATACCACCCGTGACGCTCACAAACATACCCCACATCGAACCTTCTGCATTCAATCCTTACCTATCGCAAGTTGGCAGTCTGTACGAGGCTTTCCAGCGCGCAAAAGCCGAGGCCGAAGCCGAGTCCGCCCAGCCAGCAAGGAGAGGGTCAAAGAAGGATGATACTGAATCGCCAGCAGGGACACCCAACTTGGCAGGAACACCCTTTACTCCCAATGGGCCGCCGAAACCGAAGCGTCGAACGAGCGGATCCAAGCGCACCCTACCAGCTATTACCCCCCTTTCCACCATACCGAACATCTACTTCGATGACAACTTTCACCTAGAAAACCCGCGGACCTTTGACGTAGTGAGCGAGCGGTCCGAGGTGGTTCGGCCAGTTCGAACAGCAACCAGCGATGACCATGGCGCAAACGGTTCCTTGGACGTGCCACAACCTCCCGGGAGAAAAGCTCTAGCTACAAACGCCATTTTACAAGAGAAGTTGTCGTGGTACATGGACACGGTCGAGGTGCACTTGATCTCAGCCATATCTACGGCATCGACCTCCTTCTTCGCCGCACTCGGTTCTCTGCGCGAACTTCAGACGGAAGCATCGGATTCTGTCGCAAGAATAAAAGGACTTAGGGAGGATCTGAAGAGGCTGGACGAACAGATGGCAATAGGAGGCTTGAAGGTCGTTGAAATGAAGAGGCGCAGGGAGAACTTGAGGAGGCTGACCGACTCGGTTGACCAGCTGCAAGCTGTCATCGTTGGGTTGTCGCACTGTGACGAAGCCGTTGTTGATGGTCGTCTCGAGACTGCCATGACCCGGATAGAAGTCATTGAACGACTAATTACAGGCGCGCTGGACACGACTGATTCTCAGGGTACATCTTGGCTAGATTCTCGATTACCTCCGCAGTTGGTCGATCTACGACACCTCAGAGCACTAGACGGCGTATTCGAAAGCATCACCGAGCTCAAGTTCCGTGTGGGCAGAGGCTTCGAGGTACGCTTTGTCGACACCTTACTTACGGATCTGCGAGAGCATGTCAAACGAGTTCCGACTCACGATACGCTGGAACGATGGACTGCTGCATCGCAAAAGGCACGAGGATCCAACCAGAAACCGAAGACGACTTTACCGGCCTATATGACGACCGACGAAAAGCTACGTGCAGAGCTGCGAGCCAGCTTGTATGGCTTGAGCGGTGCGCAATTTACGAATCAAGCTAGCGCTACTTTCAGAGAAGCGATGATCAAGGAGATGAAAGTCATCATCCGGAAACACCTACCGAGCTCAACAGAGGATGATACTGGATCTATGGCTTCTGTATCCACAAGAGGTGGCCGAGGGACTAGTCAGCAAGACAAAAACTCTATTCTTGCTAGGAATCTACGCGCCATGGACCCTGAAGATGCTGAGGTATTTTTCGCCAATATCTTCACTGACATTGGAGAAGCGCTACGCCGTCTCAGTACGCTGATCAAAGTGCTTCTTGATGTTACCAGCGGCGTTACTACCCCTCCCGCCTCTGCTGGTGGGCTCCGATCACCCCCACGAAGTCCATATATGCACAGCATCGATGATTACATGGGCAACGGTGTACCGGCTCCGAGTTCAAATGACCTGCAGATGGAGCTGATGCAGGCCTTAGACATGTCGAGCCTCCTGGGTCAGGCTGTCGATGCAGCGCAGACACAGATCACTAAGCTTCTCAAGGTCCGCTCTGAGGCCACAGCCAATCTTCCCCTGGAACGCTTCTTACGATACTTCCACATATGCAGGCTGTTTGCCGACGAGTGCGAAGCCGTCTCAGGACGCTCCGGTGCCGCTCTCAAAGGTGTTGTCAATACTCATATCAATGACTTTGTGTCCAAGTTTGGCGATTTTGAGAAGCAAGAGCTTGTAAAGGCGATGGACTCGGATCGTTGGGAACCGAAGGACTTCGATGCACAGGATACTGAGGTCTTAGCACGCTTGTTGAAGGGTATGGAGAGCGACCCTGCAAGCTGGGCAGAGACTGGTGACCTCCTTCGAGACATCGAAAAGCCGACTACAAATGGCACATCAGCGCAAGCCAACGGCACATCAGAAGACAAGCCCAAAGAAAAGAACAAGACCACTATTCCCGCCGTTGTCGATGAGGAAAAGTACACAATCTCCGAATCATCGACAGTCGTCCTGCGTGGCATTGAGCGCTTCGAAATTCTTGTTTCAGCCATGCCAAGTATGACTTCCGAAGTCTCCACTTCCCTTTGCGACTACATCAAACTCTTCAACTCACGATTATGCCAATTGATCCTAGGCGCTGGCGCCATGCAGTCTGCAGGCTTGAAGAACATCAACACCAAACATCTTGCCATTGCCTCTCAGACATTATCATTCATTATCGCTATTCTACCCTATATCCGCGAATGCTTCCGACGGCGCGCCGCATCCGCTTCCAATAAGTCTTCTATTGGTGAATTTGACAACGTCAAGCGCCTACTGTATGATCAGCAAAATCAGATCCATGAGAAACTGACGGGCATCTTATCTGGAAGAGCAAAAGTCCACATGCGCAGTCTCAAGAAGGTGGAGTGGGATACTGATGCCGAGGTCAACAAAGATGTCAGTCCTAGTATGGAGAGCTTGACCAAGGACACCGTGACCATGCACAAGGTTATCAACAAGTACTTGAGCGAGATTCAAGTCCGCATGATAATGGGTCCTGTATTTGAGAGTTACAGGGAGGAGGTTGGCAATGTCATCAAAGAGGCGGCAGTCAAGACGCCTGGTGGCAAAGCACGGTATGTCATCAGGATGAACCCGTTGTATGTGTAATGGCTAACGGATCTCTAGATTGCTACGCGAGGCGAAGTTGTTCGATGCAAAGCTTGGACCTATTGACGGCGCCGGTAACGTTGGCTCTCATCTTATCGGCCTCGTGGTCAGCAAGACAGTGGCGCAGCCCAAAGCTGAATCCAAGGCGGAGCCAAAACAAGAATCCGAAGCCAAGAAGAGTGAGGAAAAGACGCAGAATATCGAAACAGAAGCAGAAAAGTCAAGTACAGAAGCGACTTGAGGTAACACAGCATTCTAGACCCGTTTTCAGTCGGAGGGGATACATGTCGACGTATGCGCTAGGCAATGCCCCTACTATCCGCATCTACCGGTCGTTAGGTGTCCACGAAAGATGTTTTGCTCTTCCACGAACTTCCCACACCAATTCTGGACTACCTACGCATTCACACGTAGAGAGTTTCATTCCGACTTTGCGCATATCCACAAGCATGTCACTCGCCATGTACCAACGTATCACCGTCACCCAGCAAGGCGTTTTGGAGTAATAGAACAACTGAGAGGATGTCATGGGGCAAAGCGCCGTTGGATAACGACCTACGAGACGGGAAGGAAGTACGAGATAATGTTGCTATACCATTTCCCAGAATCACGATATCTTCAAGGTCCCCAAAGGAAGTGTGGGCTCTCTGTCCATGTTTCACTCGATGCGTGTCCGCTTTCCTTTCGTTCCTTATCTTCACGTGCTTTGGCGTTCTGTATAACCCTTGTGGTGGCCATCTTCTCTGCACATTTGTCTATTATAACCACCGTGGCTTCGTCACTGATACTGATGACAGCCATAACATCCTCATTCGATGCCATCTTCGTATTGTCGTCACGCCCACCTGAACGCTGCTTCCTATTCCCTTCTACGGCTTCTCTCTCCGCCAACTTCCTGGTCTCTATCACGGTGTCCAGACATGCTTGTTCATCCGCTTCGGATTTCAAGTTTGGTTCACACACTCCCTCGCATTCTTCGTAATCGTGCACGTGCGCGTGCAAAGCTAGATGGGCATCCATTTCTGCTTGTGAAATGCCAAGTTTGACATGTAACGGTATGTTTGTCCAAGTTGCTGTGATGTTTGTGTTGTTAATGGG